AACATTATCCAAGGTGTACTACATGGAGGTTACTCGCTCGGATTTGCATCTGTTGTGTGTGTGATCCAGCTAACTAAGGCAAGATCGATTCCTCAACATATCCTCATATTTCGCTGAAGTCAAATTGCCAAAAAATTGCTCCATAAAACGTGTATGAAACGTCTCGTTAGTTCCTTCATTTACCGCTATGTGACGCACTACATGCAGTCTAACTCGCATTTAAAATTCAACTAAGAATGTATAAAGCTATCAAAGAACGAGCACCTTCTAACTTCAGCTTTGAGCAAGCAGAAATTAATTGTTATCGTCCAAATACAACGTACGATTAATTAAAATTAAACGTTTTAAAAATGGCTGGCGACTTGTCGGAACGTGAAAGAATCACTATCCTCATGATGCGTGGATGGGGTGATAACGAAAGATCGTTCTCTGATGTCGTTCGATTATTTAATGACACGTATCCGAACCGTCGAATTAATAAGTCCACTGTGTTAAAAACAATAGAACGTTTTAGACAAACTGGTAGCGTAAGAAATCGCTCTAAGTCAGGAAGACCATTGTCTGCAACCAACGAAGAAAAACAACTTGATGTTCTGCAGACATTTATTGAAGATCCCAATTCTAGTGTTCAGAGAGTCGCTCAAACTCACGATATTGCTCCCATGTCGGTTTGGAGAATTTTAAAGAAGAACAAGTTCCATCCATATAAATTGCAATACGTTCAAGAATTGCAAAACGGAGATGAGGAGCGTCGTATACATTTCTGTGAAAGAATGATGGCACTAATAGATGTCCGGCCCATCTTCCCTTATCAAATTGTTTTCACAGACGAGGCAACTTTTACCTTAACGGGAGAAGTTAATAATCAAAATTTTCGTTTCTGGTCAGATGAGAATCCGAATTGGGTGCGGGAAACTCACACACAACATCCACAAAAAATAAATGTATGGTGCGGAATAATAGATGGCTATTTAATAGGGCCGTTTTTTTTTGAAGAATATTTGAACGCTCAAAGGTATGAGAGATTACTTGTTGATCAAATAATTCCAGCCATACAGAATACTTTTCCAAATAATTTCCAAGAAATATGGTTTCAGCATGATGGAGCTCCTGCTCATTTTGGTGCAGGACCACGTCGTATTTTAAATGAGACTTTTCCGCTACGGTGGATAGGAAGAAGGAACGGAAATGAGGGAGGAGAGGATTGGCCACCTCGGTCACCAGATCTAACTCCTCTTGATTATTATCTATGGGGATATCTGAAGAGTAAGGTTTACAGAACAAAACCTAAAACCATTCACGAATTGATACAGCGAATAAGGGATGAAATGGCTTTGATACCTTTTGAAACGAATCGTAAAGTCATTTCTACATTCTACCAAAGATTAGCATATTGTCAGGAAGTAAATGGCAGCCACTTTCAGCATTTACTTTAACACATTGAAACACATTTGCAATCGTTTGGTGCAACCTAACCTGATCTCTGTATACACGCACCGCACGCACGCACACGCACACATTTCGAACAATTATTATGATAAATGAGCATCCACAAATTTATTTACTGTTTACTATGTCGATTGCTTTCCAGGTCTTTAAATACTCGATTGTAATTTGGTTGGGTCTTTGCTTTTGCTGACTGGATCCACGACCGATCTTGCCTTAGTTAGTTGGATCACACACACAACAGATGCAAATCCGAGCGAGTAACCTCCATGTAGTACACCTTGGATAATGTTAATACCGGCGCTACTCTATCATTCAACCCTCATAACTCGCAAAGTACTTAATAAAAATGAACATTATTATAGTGTTTTGGAAAGCTCTTGAATTAAGCTATAAGAATATGCAATCAAATGTAGGGGGTGTCATTTAAAAAAGTCAATGTGACCTTGACCTGACCTTGACGACGCCATCCAAGGTCAAACTGATAGAATCAGTATATAGATCTTCTTAAACCCTACAACTTTTGTTGGAAACACTTTTCTGTAAAACGTATATTTTCCGAGATATTTAGGGGTTTCCACACTTTTGGTAGACCCTGTATATATATATATATGTAAGAGAACTTCAGCTGGAAGTTCGACTCAATATATCGATGTCAGGATATTTTTAAGGCAATAGAATCTATCAGCAGATTGATAGATTTATTTTAATATTACAACACACTGGCACACAATGAATCACTTTTAATGATTTTATTTAATTAAGATCTGGTACATTAAAATATACGTCTTATCGGACTCACGGTCCGCGAACAACCGCCACACACTCGCGAATCGGAGATCAATATTTCTTGTTAATATCTGTTGCTTGGCGACAACACGCAGATTCAAAAATACCGCGCATTCCCTCTGCGCAGATTTGCGCAGAGTAATTAACCAATAAGAAAACTAAAAGAAATTTGGGTTGTGTATGCAATACACACGAAATTTCTTTCATATATATATAATTTTTTTCTGTTACAGGAGCGGCCCCCTCACCTGGCTCCCCTGGCCCCTCCACCCCCCCCCCCGCACCACCAAATTATTTTATTATATTATTATTATATTATTATTATATTATATTATTAATTATAATTTAAGCACATACACACACACACACACACACACAAAATGTATAAAAACACACACATTTTAATAAATTTTATATTTTAATTTTTAAAAAATATAATTATTTACGCGCCTCTCCATGCGTCCCCGTCCCTGCGTCTCTCTTGCGCTAGTTATCGCGATATCGTTCTCTCTCGTGCGTTAATCTTAAGTCTATCTTTCACGATTAGAATTAGTAATCTCTCTCGCACGCGCTAGTTATAAGTCTATCTCTTTCTCTCATGCTTAGAATAAGTAATCTCTCGCGCTATGACACAGAAAAAAATTTATAACAGATTTTAAAATAAATGTTGTTTCAATAAAAAAAATGTGATTATTTACGCGTCTCTCCTTGAGTTCCGTCCCTTGCGCTATCTCTCTCTCGCGCACTAGTTATAAGTATCGTGATGTCTCTTTCTCGCACGCGTTGTCTTCGCGCTATCGTTCTCTCTTTCGCGCGCTAATTGCAAGTCTCGCGATATTATCGTTCTCTCTCTTGTACATGTCGTCTTGGTGCTATCGTTCTCTCTCTTTCATATACTCGTTGCTCACTTACCTTTGCGTCGTCCTTCTCCCGCCTATACGTCATCCTTGTCTCACGTTAACGCCATCCTTGTCGCACTCGTAGCACTGTCCTCTTTACACACTTTGCACTATCCTTTTCCCATACGTAGCGCTGTCCTTCTCACACCACCGTCCATCTCTCACGCCGCTGATCCCCCTTCACTGCGCGGACCCCCTCGTCCATCGGTCGCGCCGCGGTTCCCCCTTCACCGCGCGGACCCCCTCGTCCATCACTCGCGCCGCTTCACCGCGCGGACCCCCTCGCCCATCGGTCGCGCCGCGGATCCCCCTTCACCTGGCGGACCCCCTCGTCCATCGGTCGCGCCGCGGATCCCCCTTCACCTCGCAGACCCCCTCGTCCATCGGTCGCGCCGCGGTTCCCCCTTCCCCGCGGGTGACGTCACCCGCCGCGCGCCGCGGTTCCTCCTTCCCCGCGTGTGACGTCACTCCCCCCCCGCACCTCGGTTCCCCTCGCGCCTCACCCCTCCTGAGAGGTCCTGGGTTAGAACCCCCTTAGTATCACTACTCATGCGCTATAGCATTTCTCCGATACTATTTTCATCAAGTGATCCTACTGTTATATATACACAGGTTATACATACAGAGTGTCAGGAATATTTTTGCAAACCCGAAGTGTGAAGGTAGATTGGCTCAAATTAAGAAGGAAGGTACTATTATTTTGCGATATTCGCAATAATTGAAAGAGAGAAATTAATTAAAGAACATCGGCCAATGCGCGTGGCTAGAAGTGTGTGGCGGTGAAGGCGATCTTGTAACATAATAGCGGTGCGCGGTGAAACAGTGATTGAAGAGGAGAAGTGCCTTTGCCGCGCGTCTATATACTCATCGCTCCTCCTTCTCCCCCACGCACTTCTAGCCAGACGCATTGGCCAATCTTCTTTAATTTTTCGTTAATTATTACAAATATCGCAAAATAGTATAATACCTTCTGTTATAGTCCGAGAGACTATAACTTATTATTTCATTGATAATATTAATAGAATATTCGCGAACCGCTAACTCAGCGAACCACGCGTAAGGACGTTCACCGAGAACGCGAGAAACGCTAACGAAGGGATTCAACTTTGAACCTCCTTCGCTTGCACTTGGACTTTGGACGCCACGAAATAACCTCCGTGACCATACATGGTCATGTCGCTAGGCGATCCCCTCCAAAACACCCCCAAAATCGAGGGAATAAAAACCGTCCACCGCGAATCCGCGACGGACAGTCGTTAATAATAATTCAATTAATAATAGTGCACGACCGAGGGCTAACCGCTGTAATACTGTGCCAAATACTGTGCAACGAATCACCGACGAAATTGCTAAATACTCTAAAAGATAAAGAACGAGGCGATTCAAGGAAGAACAACGTGAAGGCTTGAAAGAAACCTATTAAAAATAAGTTACGAGACTATATTTGTAGAGAAAATATACATAATAAAAAATTGCAGAAAAAACAAATTTAAGGAATTAATTGGAGACCTCCGGCTACCCCACATCCCGTGCCGCGCCTGGCACAACATCTTGGTGGCAGCAATGGGATAGCCGAGGATCCTGGATCCTTAATGCCTGCAACAAAAGAAAATACAAAATTAATAAACTGGAGAGAGCAACTGCTATATTAAAGCAGATAGACTCAACCAGCACGCAACACTTACGGACGACAGTGATAAAGAAATCACGACCAAGTAGCAGAAAGCCGAAAAGAAACACCAGCGCTTAAGGACCAACGTCGATCCACGGCCAAGGCAACGCAACGCAGACGGACAACGCATCGCCGACGGACAACGCACCAACGCAGGACAACGACCCACCAGCAGCGTCAGCAGTCGAGCGATCTGATAAGCAACCCGATAAATTGCGACCATGCGAATCACCGTACTACTACTGTAATGCGGGATCTACAATGCGAGTCTTAAGAGTCTTAAGAGTCGCAAGAGCCGTCGTAGCACGGTCGTAGCACAGTCATAGCATGGTCGTATTCGTAGTCGTTCGAATTGGTTCAATTCCTATTCCAACGACTACGACCACACCATATGTTGCTGCGACTGACCAATGAGAAAAGAATATTGTTAGGATTAGGTTAGATTAGGATTAGGACATTACACACTGTACGCATTTCATTTCAACTAGCGAGAAAATAGCCCAAAGAGAGAGAAGAAGAAAGGAAAAAGATTATAAATTAACATTTTCATAATCATAGTTTGTGTGTTTTAAATATGGATTATAACGAATATGAATATTTGGAGTCGGAAAATGAAGAGGAAAACGAAGAGGAAATCGAAGAAAATTCAAACCAAATAGCAACCACCGTCTTGGAAGATAATAAAATTCAAGATGACTTGGATTTAATTGCGCTTGTTGAAGGCAACCCTAAACTTTATGCTAAAGGAAAAATTGGATATAAAAATGTACAAGAAAAAGAAATGACATGGATGTCTATTGGCAAAGCCCTAAAACATCCGCTAAGTGGTAAGTGCTAGTTGTTTATGTATAGGTTATACGTAAAATCATGTGTCAATGTCTGTAAACACATTCTATGATTTTTCTACAGGACCAGATGCAAAGCAGAGATGGGATACGCTGCGAAATCTCTATAGTCGCGCAAGGCGACAAATATCGACATTAACAGAACAACAAGGGCGGTCAGGTTCAAGGAGAGATAATGTGTCATATGAAAACTTATTAACACCACAAAGCATGGCTATTCATCGTTTTATGAGTCATCTGTATATTCCACGAAAGTAAATACTGATATTTTGACATTTATTTAATACTTCGATTTATTTAATTAACTTTATTTATTTCATTCACATTAAATTCCTTATTTATACTTGTACAACTGTTTTTTTATTAATTCAGGAAAATTATATTGCAGGACATTCTCCAATTATACCAAATTCACGTGTCCTTCATCTGCTTCTGGAAAAAGTTTTCTTCCCAGGCCTCTCTCCAAATCGTCAATGAGAAAACATCCACGACTACATATTTCAGATTCAGAAGAATCGATAACATTAAATTCGCCAGGGTCTTCCGTTTGTAAAGAAAACGTTCCTGCCAACAGTTTTAAAAGTGAGTGATCAAATTATTTTTTTTTTCAGAGAAAATTCAATTTCTGATTATGAAAAAATGCACTTCTTATATCTGTAAAAAGTTTCAGAGAATAAGTTTAATAAGAGTATTGGTGGTGATGAAATAAGTGATTGCTCACTCACAGTACCTAAATCGGATATTAAAAAAAGAAAGAAAATTAATGTTGATAATATAGATTCTGTAATTAAAGAATCATCTCAAACAATAGCTGCAGCTTGCTCAGCTTTGCCAACATTCCTGAATGCAACTTCCAAAGCAGACACAGAAGAAGATAAATATTTTATGTCATTCTTGTTACATGGATTAAAATGTGTGCCTGAACAACAAAAAATAAGATGCGTGATCAAAATGTTAGAGGTATTAGAATCATTTCAACAATATTGAATAACAAGACTATGTAATCAAACAGAAAAATTAATCACAGCTACTAGTTTATTCGCTAAAATAAGTTTTCATAAATCTTTATAAGTTTTCATTCATTTCTTTTTTTGAAAAAAACGTGGTACAAATATATTTTGTTATTGTTTTGGAGTTTTATATAAAATATTAAGTGTTAAGTTACAAAATTGCAATTTCAAATTGCAATTTTACTAAAAGATTATTTCTGAAAAGTATTTTTCTCATATTGACTGTGATTTTATTTCTTTACTAATTATATTTTACATTATTTTAAATAGTTTATAGTATGTCACAATATTTTAATTTTAATAGTGATTAACATTGGATACGTTCAGTAGAGAAAGCAGCTTTGCAACTGTGGTAAAATTCGTAAATCTTGGCGTGTGCTCTTAATTTTAACTGAATTAAGAGTATTCGCCAATCAGAATTTTACAACAGTTGCAAAGCTGCTTTTTCTGCTGAACGCAGCCATTAATAAAAGTCATTGGACATGTACGTCGAAACGGCTAACATATTTGATGAGCGATTGAATGTGATTGATTGGATCTACAAAAAAGAACCAATTACATTCAATCACTCAGCGAGCTGCTTTGCCATCTAAAACATATCTCATTTTCTATTGTCTCAGTATACAAAACATGTATAATTTGCCAAATATGTGGATACAAATAAACTGAGTATTCATAATTTAGTATTTAGTCAACGACTTCTTCGAAAGCGAATCAAAATTTTTCACAAATGTGACAAGAGTATAATTTAATTAAGCAAAGTAGCTCAATATATAACTAGTGTTAAGATGTTCTTCAGATATAGTATAAATATTTAATATTTGAGACAAAACAAAGAGTTTGATTTTGCAATATTAAATCTGTAAGTTAAAGAATATATTTTGTTTTATGCAATAACGTTACGTAAGAAAGCATGTGTTTCTATAGAAAAAAGTGAAGATTAAATAAAACCATATTTTACGTAAATTAGTATTTTATTTCTAAACTTCCTTGCTAACTCACATACATGTTTATACATATTGCATTGCTATGAAGAGATATTAATGTTGTAACCCCTCAATGCACAGTCAAATTGCCAGTCAACTGCCCCAATGTTTGTCATAAAATATTTTCTCAGTATGTCTCGTTGAACACTTGCAGTGTAAGCAGTTCGGTTTGAGCCAACTTGACTAATACGTACAATATGTGATCCTAATTCTTCATTGCGCCATTGCCCTGGAGTAATTATACCATTAACTTCCTGATCCACAAAATGTAGCGGACAATATTTGCGTTCATTAAAGGACATAATGTAGTTGTGCAAAACAACAAGAGCAAGCACAATTTTATGAGCAGTTTCTTCCTTGCATTGAATTGATCTTCTTAAAATTCTCCATCTAGAAGTAAGAATCCCGAAAGCATTTTCAATTGTTCGTCTTGCTCTGGACAAGCGATAATTAAAAATTCGCTGTGAATCACTGGTGAGCGATTTTCTTGGATATGGTCTCATGAGGTACGTTTTGAGAGGGAACGCTTCGTCTCCCACTAAAGTACAGGGCAGCAAAGTTGTTGTACCAGGCAATAATTTTGGAGCTGGGATGTCTACTGTACCAGATTCCAAACTTCGACCAAGATTACTGTTCGCCCATACTCCACCATCGCTATTAGAACCTGCAAAACACAATTTCAATTAACTGTTGTATTCAGTACATAAGAAGAGATTCATATTATAAATATATATTACCATAGTCATCGACATCAACCCAGATAAATTTATAATTGGCATCACAAATTGCCATCAATATAAAGCTAAAAAATCCTTTGTAGTTATAATTTAAAGAATGACTGTTCGGTGGAGCTTGAATAGTGATGTGTTTCCCGTCTAGTGCGCCTATACAATTAGGAAAATTCCACTTGTTCCAAAATCCATCAATTATCATTTCCCATATCTCTTTCGAAGGTTTGGGTAAATATTGCTCATGAAGAGCTTGCCAAATTGCATCGCAAGTTTCATATATAATTTTATATATAGTTGATTTGTCAATTCGGAAATCCCATGCTTTTGACTTGGCACTGTCACCATGAGCAAGGAATCTAGAACAATAAAAAAGGATACTATTTAATAATATAAGCTAAATTATCTAAAAAAGAAAACGATAACATTTCATTTACTTACAAGAGAGTAACAGCTACTCGTTCATTTACTGAAATAGATTCTCGTAAACTTCTTTTTGTGAGCAGAGGTCTGACAAGATTACATAAATGATCATATTGAGAAGGTATCATTCGTGTCATATTAAAAAATTCTTCATGATCTGTTTCATATGCTTCTTTAAATTGTTTATTGAAATATCCCAAATCGTTTCGAGTTCAGTTGATAGGTCTTATCCACCATCTCCTTTTATAGCGTCTCTTTCTTAAATATATTGATGTCACATGCAAATGTGCACCAGATAATAATAATATAGTAAAAATTACACGCAATTGCAAGCAATTCATATTTAAAAACTTTATGGACAGCCTCTCACTATCAGAACGCCTATGGACCTATGGATAACCTCTCACTAGCAGAACGTTGTTTTCTGGGGTGCGTTCCAATACCCTACCTTGGTTACTAAAAAGCTATAATTTACGTTACGTATATTATAGATTTTAGTAACCAAGGTAGGGTATTGGAACGCACCTCTGATTGGTTGTTAGCGATTTGCGAAAAGCTATTGTAGACAAGCATCATGACATTGCGACTCTGCGACTCTACGACTGTTCGACTCTGCGACTCTACGACTCTGCATTGTAGACCCCGCTTAAGTCGAACTCTATTTAAATGTCAGCGCCGTCAAAACAAGTAAAATTTAAGAGTCCGCGATTTCTGAGCGTACCAGCGCGATTAGCAAATAGATTCGGAACTGTAACTCCGATACGAGTAGCAGAAGAGGCTGCTCGCGATATTCGTAGAAGCGTACAGAAAAATTTAGAAGAGCATTATTCGAGTTCTGATTCATCCGAGGAACACGAACCGAGTAATAACGATTCCTAAAAAATTACCCTTTTAAAAAAAAGGTAAAAAAGGTGCTAAGTCCGCGTAAAAAACAGTACTACTGTAAAAAAATCTGTCTCCAAAATAGTGTTATTTTAAAACTGTAAAAAAACTATTGTAAAAAACATATCTTCAAAATAGGATTATTTTAATCTACAAAATAGTTATTTTAATCTGTACAAAATAGTGTTATTTAAACCGGAAAAAATTGTTCTACAAATTATTTTAATTTTGTGTAAAATTGTATATTCTACAAAAATAATGATATCATTGCGCTAAGTGAAAATCATCATTGCGCTAAGTGAAAATAAAAACTTATAAAAATATTTTAACCAAAAAAAGTTATACAAAATAGTTGTTTTAATTTTCTACATTATATCCTAGAAAAATAATAATATCCAAAAATTACGCTAATTGAAAATAAAAACTTAAAATATTTTAAAGGTTAAATGAAATTGTGTAGTCGACCAAACTAGCCAGAAATATAATTTATTCAATACGACGTTTCGACCATATGGTTGTGGTTCTTATCAAGTATACACTGAAATAGATATATAAGTTGCAAAAAATTATTATTATTTACATCTAATTTTCGGTTTGAACCGTAATACGCACAATTAATTTAGTTTCAACGTGAGATATTTTAAATATACATACAAAATTAGCCGAAGTAGTAGTAATCAGAGTGTTGGCATAGATAATAATCTTGTGCAAGCACAAGTCACATTTGCAAAACTTTATTTTGAAAATTCAATTTTAAGAACAATGAGTCCGTGTGGGACCTCGTCAGAGACTAAACGCGATCATAAGTAAAACGGAATTACATGACCTTTATTATTTTGTCATAAATGTTGTTTAAATTTTCTGTGTCTTTCTGTAAATTGATTAGGTTATCACATCTCTTTATGAAAAACATCTCAGCAATTTCTCTTTTACGAACATACTTTTCGTTGTGTAGGATGTTCGGTTTTAACCAATCAAAATCATGACCAGATTCTAATCTATGCTTGCTAATTACTGAATGATTAGTTTCATGTAATTTTATGTTGTTACAGTGTTCTTTTATTCGCGTACGTAAATGTCTTTTTGTTTGTCCGATATATGCTAAATTGCAATCTTTGCAATTTAACTTGTATACAACGCCTGTTTTGTCAATATCGTGTAAGCGATCTTTACCCCGTGTAATTAAATTATTTAGTTTTTTGGTTATCTTATACACGACCCTAAAGCCTCTATTACGTAAGAGACGGTATAAATTTAGTTAAAATATTTTAACTAAAAAATTGTACAAAATAATTGTTTTAATTTCCTACAAATAATATTAAAAAGTTGCGCTGAATAAAACTGAATAAAAATTTTCACTATAAAATATACAGATTTCTTTTTTATTTTCAATATTAAAAGAAAAATAATATTAAATGAATTGTAATATATCTATCATAAAAAATCGTTGAAAATATGAACAATCATATACATTGCAATAATCATATGCATATATCCTGAAAAGTTTAATTAAAAGAAAAAGAATACAAAATACAAAATTAAAAATTATTAAAAAAATTAAAAATTAGAAATTAATAAAAAAAAATAAAATTTAAAATATTTATAAAAATTAAAAATTAATATATTATATAAAAATTGTAGTTAAAAAACTTAGCGCTGCTAATTTCATTAGCATATTTTTCAGCATAGCAGCGCTAAGTTTTTTAACTACAATTTTTTTATATGTATTAATTTTTAATTTTTATATAAATTTTTATTTTTTTTTATTAATTTTTAATTTTTAATTTTTTTAATAATTTTGTATTTTGTATTCTTTTTTTTTTAATTAAACTTTTCAGGATATATGCATATGATTATTGCAATGTATATGATTGTTCATATTTTCAACGATTTTTTATAATAGATATATTACAATTCATTTAATATTATTTCTCTTTTAATATTGAAAATAAAAAAGA